TTCAGAAAAAATAATCTAGATACAGCTAATTTCTAAATAAACCGCGCAAATTCCTCCCCCACAGTTAAATGCGTCATGTTTTTCAAGATCATACGTTGATACGATGACTAATATTCCCTTCTATTGTTAAGGAAATCATATAGTACTATATGATAACATAGTACTATATCACGCCCGCCATTATTCTCATAACTAACTCATGAATTTATTTCACGTGACGTAAGAGATCACACGATCGATTTTGTATGTCGTGAGCATTGAGCTCTCCTCAATGTTTCAACCTTTCGGAAAAGTCTCGACGATGGAATATCGGTCGAGTTCTCTTCGCACCTGCTAACCGCTATGAATGATGACCTTCGTTCAGATGAGGGTATATCGGTAACTTCTCTTGAGGCCAAGAGAAATAGGTCATTTCAAATCGGTGATTAATATTGTATTATTCTTTATCGTGTATATCGATATGGAAATTATACGAAGCTAATTTAAATTCTGCTTTATATACTCGAAAATGCATTAAAGAGAGAAAGATAGAGAGGGGAGGAGGGAATTTAATATACTCGTGATAAGCACTTAAGATAGAATCGTTAAGATAGGATTAATCTTTCAAATTCTCATTATATCCCCTGTGATATTTTTTTTTTTTCTGCTTATGATTTTTATCGTGGCATTTCAAAGGCACGCAATCTTGAATCTTGAGGAAGTGAATTCTTAGCTGATCACGAGAATTATTCAATTATCACACGTAATCTCGCGCAATTTCTTTCAACGGATTTGACCTAAATGAAGAAAACTCGAACAATATCAAAGGCGATGTAAGGAAAAAGAAGAACGTTATTTACACGTAAATCCACATCTTCCTGGGCACGTGCGTGAGCAGGAATATTTAAATTTTCACTAATTACATATATTCTTTATAGCGATTCTTATCGTGTTTCAAGGAAACAATGATGTTGGTGCTTTTAAAGTATTTTATTCATTTTATCCATTATGAAATTGTATTATTTTTCTTGTTTTTTTTTTTTCCTCTCAATTTTTAATTAGTTATTTCCATCGGCTATTACAGTCAAATACCGCGCATTTTATAATGATGATGTAATAGCTAATACTGGTTGAGAATGCTGGTACCTATATCATTCATCATAGAAGCTATTCATTCTGATATTATACGAAAGAAGATTATTCAGAGGATCAACAAATAATATTCTTTTCAAAACTCGATTCAAGAAATTGTCCTGATAGAATCGCACGAAAGCTTTGACAATTGTCAATGGTGTTTCAATCATTGTTCATTGAAGATAATAAAAGTGAATCTTGAAACATGGAAATTACGTTATATTACATTTTCGTACTATTAATTGGTAATTAATTAAGTACACGCTTGTTTACTTAATTAAACTTACATCTTAATACATGTTTATCATCATGAAAAAAAATCACGTGTATATATCGCGTGTATATTATACATATATAATTAAGCTCGCATTTATCGATATTTTTTATAGATTTTATATTTTACCAGTCATCATGGGCAAACCTATTTTGTTTTACTTCGTAATATGTCATGTAATTTGATCTGTAACTTTTTTAAAATTTTAACTTCGTGTTTCTTTTATAGTTTAGATCCAATAATCCATGATCAATCACGACAATAATTTACTTGAACTTGACACAACAGGACGTAATTCGATGAACAACAATTAAGAATCAACTTAAACGCGTAAGTGTTATGTAACGATACCATGTAGTGCTACGATATCGTGAGCTGGAAGGACAACACCGGTTTTGCAACAAGCTATAAAGCTACTACTTCTCGAGAGTAGTAGGCTCGGTCACGCATCGACATACTGCCTCAAAGACACGTTATCCGAAAGAGAAAGTGCCGTCTCCCTTCGCATTAAGTAATCCACGAGCAATATAAAACATAAAAATAATACCTAAAGCAACTAAAGAGTATATGACGTCATCGAAATGCTTCCTTCCTCATCCTGGACGAGTAACCGGGCGATACTAACTTAATTAGGACGATGTGTAGTTTCCTTTCCGCGTCGTAATTGCAACCGTTTGAACGACTTCAATGCGTATTGATCACATTTCGTCCGAGTCTCGTCGCCCTCGTCATCAAAAAATAGGATGTTTTTTTTTATGATATAACAATGTATAAATCGATGCTAATTATTTAAATATAATAGAAGAAATAAAAAATTTTTTTATTCTAATAATTGATGTAAAATAATTACTAATAATTTCATGGTAATAGTTAAAACATCCTCTTCACATTGTAATTAGTTTTTTTTTTTTTTTAAATTTTAATCGAGGAATCGTGCGAAATTTTAATCTATTAAAACTATTATGTTAAGTGATCAGCAATGCGTTTCACTCTGGAGTCGTTATTTATCATGAATCATTTTTCTTCGGAAATAGTGGCGAAACAAACAAAAATTGATTTATGTGGAAAACATGAAGCGACAATGAAGAATCTTAAGAATGTAAAATGTTGGTAAAACGTTGAGCGTATTTTAGCGAATAAAACCGAAGATTAAATCAACAATTAAAAATGTGTTTCCTATATTGAATTCATGCGTCACAATATTACGAATTAATTTGTAGCTTTCGGTTAGTTATTTACTAAGAAATGAATCAGCGTTCAAAGATTTGGCACATTGCCAATAAAGATTAAATCAGATTTGTATACATATTATACAGAATCGAATAGTTACACGCGATATCGAAATACATCACAATACGTCACAACACATACACTATCTAACCTGAAAAAAAAGTTAATAGGATCGAAAAAAAATTAAAGGAAGGCTTCCTTTCGATCAGTTGGTCGAAAGTTATATTGTAACCGAGGTCAACAGGTTTTACACAGTCTACAGAGTATTTCTACGATAAGCAGAACTCGCATTTACGATGCTCTCGCGTCTACAATTACGCGCTCTTTCCTTGACTTACCTTGCAACGACGCATAAAGCAAAGGATCGCAACAATGCCATGCTTTTTAACAATATGGATACTGGAAAATTCCTGACTGTCATAATTGATTTGAGATGAATTTATTTAATATATAATACTAATGTATTTCAATTAATATAATCATGTAATGTAATTATTTTACTATGATTATTATCGTATAAATTTGTAAACGTATGTACTGCGCATGCGTCATTGCGAGAAAACATCGTTCATATGATCGATCATTCGAAATCGAAATTGCTCGTGCGATATGGCGAAACGCAATCACAATCATAATTCAAACTATCACTACTTGCAACATCACTATAATTTTTTAGAATTCGTGTTTGTGAATATGAATTAATCTGAATATTACCATCAACTGACTAGATAAGATGAAATTAAATTTTCTGATAGATTCACATTTATCATTTATATGAAACATTGTAATTACTATACTTTATTTTTCATCATAAAATAAAAGCTGTGATAAAATAAATTTATGACAAATAATTAAATGGATATTGTGATTGAAATTAAGAAAAATATCACAAACAATAATTGATTGTTCATAACTAAAAATAAGATTGACAATCAAATACAATTTTATTTCGGTAGAACTTAAAATCATATATATCATATAATTGATCATAATTGACAATTAACATTGGGAAAGATAATCAAAAAACGTTACTCACTTGATTTTACCGTATGTTAGTCTTTTTCCTTCGTTGTCACCGATATTTGCAGCAAACGAAAGATAAACAATTTCTTTCACCAATGAAACGTGACACCGTTTCACGTAGCACGATCAAATAATATTATTTTGACAACAGTAAAATGCAAAAATCATTAGTTTCACAATTTTCTTAAATAATTTACTAATAATAATCACACGATAACGTGGATAATTATCGCTTTTAGTTCAGGCACGAAGTTACGGCTCGAGTATCGGCGTGGACACGCGCGATTTCAGGCCGGGTCTGAGTGAAACTGAAATGGTAAAACCGACAAGACTTCTCTCTTGCTCCCTTCTATTTCTCCCTCTCTTTCTCTCTCCTTCACCGTGTTGCTCAGTCTCCCTGATTATTTCCCTCTCTCTTTCATATTATTTCTTTCTTCGTTTCTCTCTTCTTCTTGCTCTCTTTCTCTCTTTTCTTATTTCATTCCTCTTCTATGTTACTTAAATCTCTCTTTTCTACCAAGAGCTATCGTTTATAGTGTCCTTGTGTCATACCTGTACATACTCAACGCAAATCCTTGTCTCTATATATGCTGCGTGTATCGTGCGATTCGATGCTCGGAGAATCCATGCTTCAAAGAGAGGGGCAGAGCTACCGAAAGTAGGGTACGACTACGTCTTTGACCGTTGCGTAGCAGATATATGTATATGCAATGAGATAGATCTTATATTTTTATATCACATCGTGCCAGATGGAGTATGATGTCGGAATGCTACACACACACACACACACACACATTATATATATATGTATATTTACAGAAACCTGTATTAATCACAAGAAACAAGATTCAATAAATTTTTGTGTCATCAGTTATTAGTATGTATAATTATTACCATATATGTCAATGTAATCTAGGTCCAATTTATTTAAACTTATTTGATAGTCATGTATCATTCCTAAGTTGATACAACAAACAAATAAACATGAATGCACGATACACGATCGAATAACACAATATAACGATTGAATTCTTAGAATTATTAGATTTAATTAATGAATTCTTCTCCTTTAATAGAAGAAAGGTCATTATGTATATGAAATTTCTGAATAATATTATGAATCGTCTATTATAATCTATTAGAATTCTGAATGAATATTTATATCTTTTTTCGTGATAATGAAATATATATATATATATATATATATATA